ATGTTTCTCCAGATACGTTAAAAAATGCTTGGCATAATTTATGGCCAGCTGCCATATTTCGTTGTGAGGACGATGAAGATGATAGCCTCGAATTTGAAGATTTTTGAACATCATAAACTAAAGGTGAAATTTTCCAGTTATTGGATTTTGTAAAAAAATGTGGAAGTGGTAATAAATGAAGATGATATAACAGAAGTTTTTCATTGCGATGACAATGCCTCAATCATCAATCAACGGACGGCGAAATCTGTAGTATGGTTCTAGATCCAGAAAGTACTGCTTCCGATAGGTGGAACTTTGTAACTGAACAAGAAATTATGTCTGTTTATAGAATTAAAGAGAAAGTATTAGCACAAAAAACGAAGCAACTTAAACAACTTACATTGAAAGAAATGTTGAATAAAGTAAACATATAAATATTAAGCTTTTTTTTGTAAAATCTGATACCCTTTATATTGTAAATTACGTTTCATCTTTTTAATTGTATAATTTCTGCATGCCATCCTTACAAGATTTAAATTGATGATCTATAATCCGGAATCGCCGAAGTCCCGACGAATCCAGATTACAGACTTTGTACTGTACTTAGGTAGTATATCACTGTTTAATTGAAACTGAATTCTAATGAAGTTAACAATTTTGGGAAAATTACATCACTGTTGAAGCTTTACAAAATTTAAAGCATGCTTGGTACGAAGTGACTTATTATTGTATAAATAAAGTTTGGGCAGACATTTAGCCTGAAGTTTGTGAAAATGTTGATGAAGCTATGGAGAGAAATGAAATATTACAATTAATGCTTTGTCGTATGAAGCAGTAATGAACAGAGTTGAAAAAGACTTAAGAATTTGTTGGAATCTCTTTGAGAAAATCTATCAAGTGAAAAACTGAAAAGTTTGACAGATAATATAAAAAGATCAGAAGGGAATTTATGTATTGAAAATGCTTTAGAAAATGTTGCTGAAAGAAAACTAAAAGATTTATCTGAAAGAAGAGCATGGTAACTGTTATAAAAATAATGGATAAGTTTTTGGAGCGTGATCTAAATTGAGAAGTATAGTTCAAAGACAGGAAGAGGAGTTATAGACTCCAGTAGTTATGAAGAAATGCTGACTCAAAGACTCAAACAAAGAAACAATCATCTTTAGATAGTTTCTTCATTAAAAATATATATATATTTATAATATGTATTTAATTAATTAAGAATCTCTCTCTTTTGTTAAAATACATATATATAACGCACTGATTTTCTTTAATTAACCGTTTGAGTCCGGCGAAGCGCTAATGAGCTTCACTTGTCGTATGCCAAAAATACGGCGCAGCGCAATAGCGTTTCTCTTGTTTTGTATCAAGAATGTGAAGACGCTGCTGTTGGTTAGTGTACTTTATGCAGTTATTGAGAGCAGTTGTGATATCAGTAGCACTTGTTTTATAGGAATTGGAAATTGTTTCATTTTTTTATTAAGTGTTATACTGATGATTATGAACTAACCCATGTCAAGTTCTGATTCATTTGAAAGTGACTATGTTATGAGAAGTGATAATGAAGAGTATAGTATACCTTGAAAGTGATAGTGGAAGTGACATCATTATTTGTTCTAAGAGATTACGAGTTATTAGTGATAACAGTGATGAGGATGACGTAACTGCAAGTACCTCCGATGACGATATTATTGATGAGTTATTACCCGTGTATACAATTTTTTCAAACGAATCAAATACTTTTTCTGAAGTACCTGAACCAAAGAATGCCCCTCCTCCTGATGCAAAACCAATTGAATATTTCAGTAATTTTTTTTTTTTTTTTTTCAAGTATACTAGCCAACAGCAGCATCTTCGCATTCTCGATATAAAACAAGAGAAGCACTATCGCACTGTGCCGTATTTTTGGCATACGACAAGTGAAGCGTGCGCCGGACTCAAACGGTTAAGGAAAAATCACAAAAGTGACAAAGTTACATGTAGAATTTAATTAAACTGACCCACAGTGTACAACACATAATAAGGTATAAAATAATATAAAAAGAAATCAGGCTATTATGGTGTTATAGAAAATTAGCACATGTATAAAATTAACAAGTCAGTTTGGAATAGGAAAATTGTGCTCAATATGGAGTGTGTTCTCTCCTAAAAGCAATATAGCACATACAGCGTTGTGTGATGTTGTGTTATGCGGTCTGTTAGTTCTGTAGGAAATGAGAGCCATTGCTCTTGCAAAGCAGTGGCAAGCTTGGCAAGGGTTTGAAGAGGAGGGTTGAGAACAGTTATACATCTTCCTAAAGCATCCCAAACATGCTCGATAGAATTCAGGTCCGGTAATCAAGCTGGCCACTTCATGGGCTGAATCGTTTGCTACTGAAGATAATCATCCACAATGTGAGCCCTGTGCAGGCTAGTCTTGTTGTCTTGTACCAGGAAATTATCACCTATTAAGGGTGCACATAAGCATCAAGGATGACATGTCTATAGGTTTGAATATTCATGTATCCATGTAGAAAGACATGGAGGTCAGTGCAGTCACCCAAAAAGATACCACCCCAAACACAGACCCTGCCTCCTCCATTTGCATCTTTTTACATTTATATTTGATGGATGATAATTGGTTCCAGGTTCTCTCCAAATCAAATAATGTCTGCTATCACTTTGGAGGCTAAAACTGGACTTATCCGTAAACAGAACAGCCCTTCATTGATCAGCCATCAAATGAACATGGTGACGGGCCAACCTCAAACTTTGCCTTCTGTGGCATGATGTGAACAGCAAACAGATGGCTGGTGACCTGGCGTACAGACTTTCTTCTTGAAGCCTTCTAAGCATGGTTGACATTGACACCAACCTTCTGGGACTGCAGCATGGGTAGATCTGAGTTGAGTCGGAGTTGCAGTTTTATTCTTTCATGTGCATAACAACAATACCGGTCATCGGGTAGTAGTTAGCCATACTTGGCTGAACCTCCAAGATGACGAATCTGTGGTTAAAAATTATTGCCAAAGTCTATGAACCACAGGAGGACCCACATTTAGCCATCTGGCCACTTCTTTGTGATTTTGTCCTGCCTCTTCCAGTAACTGTCCATCTCAGTTTATTGGGCAAATAACACCTGGAGATCATTGTTAAGAATTGGCTATCCCTGAAAGTTGCAGGCTTGCCCTCAAACAGTTTTATGCTTTTCACAGATGAAGTGTTCTGATTACAGCACCACTAATTTGCATATTGCAGTATATTAATCTGTATACTAACTCTTATATGACAACTCTTATTAACTCTTATTTGAGTAACTCTTATTTGACAACATATTCAAATTTTATATAGATTGCTTTATTTTTGAACAAGTTATCACTATTTTTGTAATTTTTCCTTAAAACCCATTTACGTTTGATTTGCTTAATTCCTATTTTGTTTCATGTATTAAGAGCATAAACTGAGCAAAACTGTATACATTTTCAGATAATTTTAGAAAAAAATTCCATATGAGCACTCTTAACGTGTAGAGAAACATGCTATATTGGCTGGTAAATAAATTCCCATAACATAGAAAGAAGCAAGGTGCTGGTATATTTTTTAGTAACTGGATTAACAGAAAAGAAGAGAGGCTTTTATGGGTTCTCGCAGAGGGGGGAAAGCAAGCTGTTTGGCACACATTTCTTCAACATCTGAGCATGGAAATCACTTTGAGAGATTGATTCAGACTTGTCAAGACATGGAATTCTTGAACATCCTAATTAAGTCAGTGGAGAATATTGTCTGATATAGCATATAGCATTTTGCTCTGTCTGATTCCTTCTTCTTTTTTTGTTTGTTAGTTAGAAACATCCAGCAGCTAAATGTATTTTTATCCTTTTCAGGTCGGGCATCCCATATACACATTCCCTAAAAACATCTCTTACAGCCGGGCGTCCCATCCATGCAACACTAGCGAACGGGTGATGCGTATACGCATTTTAAGCTGGAACGTTTTTCTGAAGGCCACTAGATGGCATCCTATGTCCATTACTTTTGAAATGAACACAGTTTTAGGTTTCTGACCTTGAGTTTGATATATTCTATCTGACTTTGGTATTTTACTCATCAACTGTTGTGAGGGTGAGAGGGAGGAAAAGCGTAAACAGAGGTGGGCTCTTTAAATCCCCGCATGCTAATATAAATATATTCACGTGTCTGATTTATATCCAATTCTTTTTTTTTTTTTTTTTAATTCTATTTTTCCCCTCTACTGTATACAGTTTTTTAGGGTTACTATGTGCAATGCAAAACTAGTTTTGCATTGCCTTCAGATATATTTCCTTTTCTTCTCTTTTTATTTCGGAAAGCCTCACCTCTAGTCTATTAAGGCGGGAAGGCACTATTTATCAGAGGAAGAAAAGTGATACTTTTTCTAAGAGTTAGAAAGTGATACTTTTCCGAGCTTCGAGATTTACCACACTCAGTCTTCATTTTAAATTTTGTTACTTCTTACTGTAAATAGTCTTTATTGTGTTGTTTTATTAATTTTAAACTTTATTGATGGATTTTATCGATTGAAACTTTGGACTAATTTGAATAGCGCTTCCAAAAATTATTTTACAAGATAAGGAAATTTTTAAGTATATTTTCATGTAAAATAAAGAAAAAAACGTTAGGTTAAGTGCTAATTTTAACATATATAAGAGCTCAAGTAATAATCTAAAATGATATCACAAATTATGATGCTAGAAGTGTTTTTTTCTCGCCACCCCCTGGGATTTTTTTTTTTTTTTTTTTAAATATATAAAATTAGGCTTAGCGATGTAAAACCTCCGTCCTGTACAGTTTGTACAGTGACTGCCTTTGATTCCCTTCCGTCCCGCGCAAGTGTCTTAAACAAAGGTGCGCCATTGTGAAAGGGTTAAACCTGCAATTTAAATTATCCTTTAATTGAGATAGCTAGTTACATATGAAAGTAATCATTGTGCATGTAATTTTCAATATTGAGCTTAATTTATTTTCATATTCATATATATTTGTGTATGTTCTTTTTATAGTCTGCCATAGTGAAGACTGAACCTATCAAATATGACCCTAGCACCATAAATAATGCTCAGCACAGTACGACTTCTATCCCTCTGGTTGCAACAGAGACCAGGAAAGTCAACCTCCCTGTGCCACCACCACCACAGTTTGAGTCAGAAGGTGAAATACTTCCCTTATCTGAAGATGGTGAAATACTGAGTTCTTCAACAATTTCCAGCAAAACAAAGACTGTGGAAACAATTACTGTGAGTAAAAAATAGGTGTCTTAATTTTTTTTGTCCTGTTTGCAATAAAGGTAATGATTATATCAAAATATTATATTATTTATTTGTGTACTTTTAATTCTAATTGTGTTGAAATGCTCAATATTTTAATAAAACTATCCTTTAAATCAGGTTCTAGAAATTCATGATTTTAAAAGTATAAAACCCTTATCTTAAATTATATCTGAAAACTCTCTTTAACAATTTTTTTTAATGAAGGTGCAGTACGTAGAATAAATTTTTCAAAGCTCTATATATCCTTATCTTAAATTATATCTGAAAACTCTCTTTAACAATTGTTTTTAATGAAGGTACAGTAAGTAGACTAAATTTTTCAAAGCTCTATATATTCTTTCCCTCTATGTAATATAATTTTTTAAGTTTACAGTTTGTTGTTAGTTAGGAGTTGAAAGATTCTCCTCTGCCAGAGTAATTTTGTGTACATTTTATTTCAAAACTTGATAAGTGAATAATAATAATAAATAAATATAGTAGTGAATAAATAATAAAATAAAGACTGTGTAGTGCACTGTTACTTGCATGCATTAAAAAGAATATGAAGAGCTCTTATGTCCAAGGTCTAATTATACCTCATATCCAAGGTCTAATTATACCTCATATAAATTCTTAATTTAATTCCATTTAAAAATACTTTCAAATATCATCCTGCCATGTTTTTATCAATGCTTGCAAATAGAAAGCAAAAATTTTGTCCAGTGCTTGTGTTAAGAAATTGTAATATTAATTTCAGTATAAAATGGAGCGTGATGGTGTAGTAGAAACTCGTGTGGAGCAGAAAATTACTATTCAAAGTGATGGAGACCCCATAGACCATGACAGAGCTCTTGCAGAAGCTATCCAAGAAGCAACCAGAATGAATCCTGACATGACTGTCGAAAAAATAGAAATTCAACAGCAATCAAGTTCGCAATGATTTTTAGGTAAAACATTTCAGAATTCATTTTAAAAAAATGTAGCGTTCATTCTTTTGTAAATTCCTCAATATTGATGTACTTAATAGAATATAGGATTAGTTTTGAACTAAATGTGTGTACCCTTTTATTTATTATTTGTTTTCTAAATTCACAGAATGGTAAGTTAGTATAAAAAGATTTAAAAAAAAAATAAACATTTTGATTATTAGTTTTAAAAAACGTTTTCCCAGCTGGTGCCAGTTATATCTAGTATACATTAAATGTGTCATGCTGAGCGCCGCCTGAGATAACCAGTGACCTGATTTTGATGTAAAAGTCTTACAGTGTTATAGTCATCCCAGCAGAAGGGAAAATTTCCTCCGTGTAAAAATATACATATAAATATTACATGAGCATACAAGGCCTGTGTATAAGCATAGATATGTTGATTACAATCATTGTCTTGTACAGGTTACATATGATAGATACATAAAATCATGACAGCTATGTGTACATTTAAACATTATATCAATTCATATTTACAATACTTTTACTGAGATAATCAAATTAAACTTGTAATTCATTTACACATTGACTGGATTTTCAATATCAATTAAACTGCTTTACAATATTATTTTTATCAAGTACATACAAACTGGATAGTAATATGCTTACATTACAATAGTTTTGCTCTTACAGTAATGTTATTATTCTACAGGGTGAGCTATTTTCCTAGTGTTGATATTCAGTTGTTGTAGTATTTTGAATTGGTATTAAAATTATGCTGCGAAGATACAATTGTCAAGAGAGGGGGAGAATTTCTTAGTATCTTGCTGAGCAAAGCCTAATGACCTCCTCTATTTTAGTTTTCGTCTGCTTGTTGCCGCGGGTATTCTCCGCCCATTGCAGCCAGTATTCACTGCTTGTCATTTTTAAATGCAGTTTATCGGTTTGTGGACAGTTGAAGAGGAAGTGATCTGCATCACCTACCACACCACATTCACACAAATCTGATGCTCGTATGCCGAATCTCTTAAGATAATGTGGGAAGGGACCATGGCCAGTGTAGAATTGAGTTTGTGCTCCGCTGTATGTATTAACTGAGCACGTGACTTTTGGAAAGAACTTGTAGGTTCGCCTCCCTGTGCTTTCCTTTCCCATCTTTTCTGCCATTCTTGTAAAAGGCTATTCAGTGTTTTTTTTTTTTTTTTTTTTTTTTTTTTTTTTTTTTTAAATAGGACTGCGGAACACTTACTGCATTTTCCAATCTACTGGAGTCATTGGGAGCAGATTTCACAAGCAGGTCCACCCTTCATTGTCAGTAATATCCACATGAGCTGGAACCCAGATCGGGATAGGTCTGTCATCAGGTCGGATACTTAGAAGAATTTTCTGAATATCTTGCACCAAAGGACTCCTTGTCTTGTGCCCTCGGATGGACTCCAAACTTGAGGCAGAGTCGCTATATATGTTGACCTTTAATCCTGATTGATATTCTGCCAAATTGATGGCTGCTTTTAATGCAAGAAGCTCTGCCTGAAAGACGGTATTTTTGTCTGCCAGTCGTCTTTTCCAAGTTTTACCCACTTCTCCTTCTTGGAGTACACACTAGGCGCAGCCTGTGCCTTATGATGCAAAAGCCAATCAATCGGCCCTTCGTTGCCTTTGGATCAAGCTTAGAATTTCTTTTAGCCTTTAGAATTCCCACATAGGCAATCGTTCCAAATGCCTTAAGGTGACGTACTGATGGTTTCTGCTTAGTATACAATTCGAATGGTGTTCTATCTTGGCCCTTATGACAAATTCTATTAAATGAATATGCAAAGTACATCACTGCATCTGACCAAAATTAAGGACTCATTCCACTATCATGTAAAATTGCACGTACATTGTTGAGAGCTGTCTGATTGAATCTCTCACAAACTCCATTTTGTTCCGGAGTATATACGTCTGTAAATTCGTGCTTTACACCATTTTTATTACAATATGACCTGAATTGTTCATTATCATATTCTCGTCCATTATCAGTCCTAAAGTATTTCAACTTAAGGTTCAAAGATTTTTCAGCACGTGCTATATGCCTTTCAAATATTTCAAACACCTTTCTATACAGTGGGGTACACTACCACATAACGAGAATATTCGTCAATAAAGGAAACGAAATAACGTTCACTATTCCTACCTGGAATGTTAATAGGTCCCCATACATCAGAAAAAAACCTTTCAAGCGGCCTCTTTACTTGAATTCCTTCTAAGGGTCTATAGGAGATTCGTCTTTGCTTATTGATTTGGCAATGTTCACAAAACAAATTAGGTGAGTGCTTTAACACACGAAGACCTCGAACTGAATGTCTCTTACTAGTCCTGACAATAGCACCATAATTTATATGACCAAACCGACCATGCCATAATTCACTATTGTTATGCTGAACTGTGGATGCCTCAAATTTCAAAGATTTGCCCCCCTTTTTCACTATTTTTCGGAATACGTGTGATAATTACTTCCTATCAACTTAGCCTTGTAAAAGTTTCATTTTCATCATCAGTAATTTTAATTTGCCCATTTTTACCATAAAATCTTGCTCCATTGATATCCACCTTAGGTCCAGATATTAAATTTCGTCTCAGTTCAGGTGAGTATAAAACATCTTTAAAGCAAAATAACTCTATCCCCAAATTTCATTTTAACAGTACCCTTTCCCATGAATTGGAAAAGTTGCACTCCATCAACAGCTACTAGCATATTCTCATTCTTCACAGGAGAAAAAGTATCGTACAATTCACGATTTTTACAAAAATGATGAGATGCAAGCAGTATCAAAAATCCAACTATCATCATTTTCCTCCAAGTTGTTAACATTAGCTTGGAGCTATGAAAATGGGGACTGAGCATGGGAATAATTTTATTTGATTAAATCAAAATGTTACACAACTTGGGTTTATTCTTACACTTAGGAAGCATGTTTTATTACTACTAGATACAGCTGAGGAAACAGAAGAAGCAGGCGAGTGGTGATCTGGAAAAATTACCTTTCATTCTACAGTATTTTTGAATATGACCTGAACGGCCACATTTATAACACTTGAGGACCCTTTAATCTGCTTAAATTTGGGTTCAACAGTGAGTACTTTTAAACTTCTATAGTCTTATTGGAATTTTCCCTATCTACATCTTCCTTAAATTAAGACGTGTTTCCTCTGCTAGTATTTCAAGTTCAACATTTTTAAATATGAACTTTTCATCTGGCCACCTCAAAATGTTCTGAACTACTTGATCATATTTTATCTGGAAGGAACCTAAGAAACTGAAAAAATATGTATACATCTTCTTACAGCCTTGATTAATATCAGCCTAATTGTTCAGTAATACCATGTTTAATCTAGAAGAAAAGAAACTAATACTTTCATTTGGCTTAATTTTACAATTTAAAAACTCTGAAAAACAAGGACATATGTCTTGATCGATAATCTGGCTGAAAGTATTTGGCAAGCATATTCTATGCAACTACCAGGTCATCAATTTCACTTATTCAAGTTTCTATATTCAGGGCTTACATTCATATAAATTAAAGATAATGCCAAACGACTTCTATTTTGATAGTCAGCAACAATTTCTTTTTGTAATACCTTAACATCATTTAAACTCAGGACGTTTTTCAATACCTTTGACCAAAAGCCAATGCATTTTTCTCATTTAAGACAAACTTCATATCTTTAGACCATGTAAAATAAGTTACATTGCCATCAAGTTTAGCAATATTATGTACATAACATTAACAGTAGCCATATTTGAAATTTCAACAAAAACCACCACCCCCAGTCTCTTAAGTCCTAAATTAACTTTAAACTTCAAAAGTCTGCACTAAAGATAACTCAGGGGCTGGGCCCATAACCAAAATGATGCAAAAGCAAAGTTTAAAGTTATAAAAATTAAACATTTAGCAGAAAGTAGCAGTAGAAGCTCCCTAAGATGTATATGTGTTATGCAGACATTGAAGACAATAAAAAGTTTTCAAACTTAACCAATTTATTAACAATATATAAAAATAAAAACACAATGAATAAATTTAAACAATATCAGTAACTTAGAAATTATAATATAACCATCATTATAAAAAATTTCATATATTAAGTAATATTTTACCTGGTCTCCAAAATACTGGCATTCAATACGCGAAGAACGTATCCTAAACAGAAATTATGTGGTTTCAAGTGAAATTAGCTACACTATCAATAGGTCCACGCTTAATGATCAAGAAAGCACCTGAAAAATTAAATTAAGTCCTTGAGAGCACGCAAATCCGGCCTAACTCCACTATAGTTGAACACGAAGAATCATAGCCCAGTAAAACATCGCTGCTAACTTATGTTAAATTCCGCCGTCATGAAGAACATGGATGCCACCCACGGCAGTCACTCACATTATAGCCTCTTTTGAGAATCCAGGAGAAGTCATCTTGTAGACTGGAACCAAGGAACTTATTCAGGAAAAGTCATCTTGTAGACTGGAACCTCGGAACTTATCCCCGGACTGCATGCATCGCAAGACGTCTTTCAATAGGGGCTGGAAACTGCACACCCAAGAGCCAAGAAAGCAGGAACTAGAAGGAATGAGCAGAGCGACACGAGATACTTATACCAGAAGTAGGCATGACGTAATCTCACGGCAACCAATCAGCTATCGCCACGACTCGGCTTTCCAGATGACGTAACATCACGTTTCGTTTTTGCATCTTAATTTGGCTGGAACAGTCTGTTCTTAATACAAATAGTGGCAGTAAAAAACGAAGTAGAAGTAACTACTATGTCCCTTTAAAATAAGAACTAAGCCTTATGTAAAAATTATAATTATTTCAAGGAGGAGAGATGATGCAGAAAAAAGGTTACAATAAGTCATATTTTCCAACACCTTTCTCCGTCTTTGAGCCATCTGTATAAATAGCAAATGCCTTACTCATTTGGCGGTATGTGTTGCATGTATATTGTGTGATAAATCAGTATCTGCAGAGTGTCCAAGCTTGATCGGC